ATAGAGGAAATCATTCATATTGTAATACTAAACTCAGTCTCTCACCACTGCTTACACTGGATTCATGTTCATTCTCCATTTGTCACAACATTGATTTATTTTCCTCCCTTTCTTTCTTTCATTGTAAACAGGAAAATGTGAAATCAGCCCTTGGATGGATTCAATGTCACATTCTAATGATTGCAATGTCAACCTGTCAGTCTTTAACTAATGAGTATTTACTGTAGCTTGATTGCAGGTGTGAGTCTGAAAGATTATGTGTGAATTAAGGAAATTACCTGTTTATTCTCGAGGTCTGCACTGCATAATTACTTTGCTATGAAATTATTCTGCTGTTTTCTATTTTCCTCTCGTATGTGAGGGTGAAACCAAAATGTTGGGATGTTGTCTCCTAAAAAATGTCTGAAATGATTTATGGATGATCAAATTAATTGTCTTTATCACTCTGCACTCTGATTCTGATAGTTGTTATCTTGTAGAAAATGTTAAAACCAGCATAGACCAATAATCATTCGTCTTTATAACAAACAAAATTCCATTCTGCTAAAGCCATTCCATTATGTATCTCCGTGTAACTGCAGAGAAACTGCTGTTTAAAGGTTTGCACTGCTGCTAAATATCTCCAGCAGCTGCAGGATGTAAATCAAATGAGTCATGACCTCCTCACTATAAGTCACGCTATATGGAAAGGTCTGCTTCATCCCCAGCCCTTGTATGACTTTGAAAAATCAATCCCTTGTGTTTAACTTGTCCAATATGGCATTCCTTTGTATACACGTGGACGAGTAGCAGGCACATTGAGTCAGTTTGCTTTTTATCTCGCTGAAGTCGTTTGTCATTTTGATCGAGCATCGCCGTAAAAAATCACAAGTTTGAGCAGTTGTATCTGTGGTGATATCAAATAGCCAATGCGGTTCACCACAATTGAAAACAGTGCATCTACAATGATGACTGAAGACTTGATGTCTGTATTTGTAAAGCTTGTATTTGCCATTTAACTAGTTATTGATCATTTCACAGATTTTAGAAGCTCCCTTTTGGTGCCAACAAACGCAGAGAATTCAGTGCAAGACTCTTCACTGCTGCAGAAGCAGAACATATTGTTTGTGTCCATCAGTTGTATGAAGAAATTAGGACATTCTTCTTGTCTTTGCAGATAAAAAAAAGTATTCATTCAGACTATATGCAATTATTTTTTTTAATACTCCTGTCTTCCTGATTTGCATGTATGTCCCCAAAAACCATTCAAATATTCTAGGTCACCAAAGGGCAACAATGGTGGTGAATTATGTTAATGCTATTCCATCAAATCGCGTTTGCCATTGAGGTGCACGTCAACTCACAAAAGTGAAACAATGTGGAGCACAGGGAACTTTAGAACCCGTGTTTACCCTCTCTTTCTCGCCTCTCATGTAATTTTAAATGTCACTGTTTTTTTTTTTCCTCCACACTTTTTCTTTTTCTTTTCAGTGTTTCTTTTACCGGCAGAATCCCCGCAGAGTCATACGCAGTTTGAAAGACACACAACTTTTCTCCTGATGCTCTTTCAGGAGTCTGTTTTAATGCTGCAGGGGCTCAGTCAATGAAAGGTCAAGCCTCATGCGGAGTAATTAAAAATAGACCGAGCCAGACTTTCCTGTAATGTCAGACTAATGAAACGGAGGTTGGGCTGACTTTAGGGGAGATATATAACTAACCTCTATTAATAAACAAATAAAATAAAACACAGAGCTATCATACATTATCTTCTCTTTGGTGGTATTGAAACTTGGTTTCCAAACAAAGAGGTACTTCTCACCCTGAAGAGCATCTGGTCACACTGTTAGGTTTTCTTGGAAACACTGTGTTCACAGCCGGAGCCGATTTTTTAACAATGAGCCAGTCAAAGAAAGAAAACCATATCCAGAAGATTTAAAAAACAAGAATAAAAAAATCTAAATCACTACCTTAGATCTGTGAAGCACAAAAGAAGGTTCAAATAATATCTTGTGTTTCTTTTGGTCTTGCATGTCACCCGTGCATTTGACAAACAGCCGCTGCTCCGCCACAGTTTTGATCATGATCCAGATCTTTAATCTTCTGTTGCAAATTTGCTGTTTTAAGTGAGTACTAATGGCTTCTCTGGATTAAGTCCACAGCCACAACACATTCATCACAGTGGTTTGCTGTAGATTTGAAAAAATGTCCTTCTTGAATGCTGTGAACACTTCACAGCTCTCTTTGACCGTTTTGCTTTAGCCTGAAATGTGTTTAATCACACAGTTAAGCAGACTAAGGCAAGCATGTTGTTCATTTCAAGTATACTAAGTACCACTGGTTGACCTGTGGAAATTAAATTCACCCTTTTTTTTAATTGGTGTGGTGGAATTAAAGCTAATTGTTCTTCTTAAAAACCATAAAAAATAATCTTGATTTGGCATCCCATGCTTTAGGATATAATTTCCATTATGGCTGAGACCAAATGACCACACAACACATTTTATAATACAAACCCCCTAAAATGCATCATGTCAGAAACAAAGTGTGTGTGAATCTAAAAACCCCTTTAGCCACTAAATAAATGCATAACAAAAGAGAATAGCTTCACAGGCTCACCCTTGCATGATCTGACATCAGATAACTTCATGCTCAGCTGGTTCAACGGTTAAAGGGCCAGCGGGTGTTGAGAGGGTTTTGATCTCCAGCCTTTTGCAAGATATGAATACTTTTGCAGTGAATACAAAAAATCCCTGTATTTACTTTTTATCCTTTTTTTTTTTTTTTAAATCCTGGCTGCATACTGTATATCAGACGACGGAAATGTGACTCATGCAGTGAATCATTTTGTGTGTTTAGAAGCAGATGAGGATTCTACTTCCAACTTCCATCAACATTAATATAACTTATTACTTACAGGTAACTTCATATTTACCTTCTTATTAAATAGCCCTGTAATGGTTTATTTTATTCCCTGTGCTTACTTCTGACATTTAAATACCACTTCTATTTGCACAGACTTGCTTTTTGTTGGTATATATTTCACTCTCTATGGGAAAGCCATTAGATTCCCTCCACTGTACAGGCAAATAATCCAATTCAAGGGTAAATCTTCAGAATGTGATAAAGTTTGATTTTTGGACCGATAAGGTTTTTCTGCCCGGCTGAAGGTTTGATTGAATGCAGAGAGATCACTCACTGAGGTTCTGGAAAAGGAAGCACTTTTCCTCATCGGAGGAGGCAGAGTCGGTGTTGCAGTTCTGAACTATACATTTTTAGCAGAGCTGCATGCTTTGCATTTTTTGTTCTGTATGCTAAGCTGTTTGCGTAGCTTATTTTTTTGTGAACAGATTGCTGAGGATCATAAAACACCCGAAGAAACTCGCCTTACCTCTTCTTGAGACTGTGTGCCTGCTAACAACACTTGTTTGACGTCAGCACTAACATTTCCTTCTTCTTTCTTTCTTTTTATTTACATAAAGGCTTTTATCACACAAGTTCTGATATTCTAATGAAGTTGTTTTTCAGAAGAATAAAAGTGATGTAACCATATTTTTTGAACATTGTGCTTTGATTGACCTTCTTTCCTCCTGTAAAGCTGCTCCTCTTTACTCGCTGCAGTCTTCCATAATAAAAACCATCCACTGCTGTGGTGGAATAAATGTGCTCGTACACAATATTAGCCTCAGATTGCACAGGAGTGCAGTGAGTAAGTGGATGTTACAGTCCACCATTAATAGTTCCCATTCGTTCATTACCTGTGCAATTGCTATTGATCTCCCAGAGGCTGTTCCAGGGTTCAGTCTGCCGCTGAAAGGTCTGACATGCCAGTGGGATACGTCAGGCCATGCAGACGTGCCTTATAGAAAATAATATCCTCTACCCGCTGGTGTTGACTCTCAGTGGCTTTGTATGCAAATATAGATTATTGTGATTGATTGGATGGGATTTAGGTTGAAATCATTCTCTTTCTATTGTAATTGTTTTTCAAATGAAGGGATAAAAGGCTCGCCGGATGGAGACGTGTAGCGGAATATCTCAGAAGAAAGATAAAATGTTTGCTGTTGAGGAGGGTTCAGCGGGATTTCAGATGTTAGTCAGTTTCCAAAGGTTGATTGAATTTTAGATGATGCTTACCCACCAGTAATCATCGTCATTTTGTCTTCATTTTACAAGTTAAATCTTTAATAAGTAGAGTTAACTGTTACAGTGACATCGGGACGGTGCTGTTTCCCAAAAACCACAACAGAATTAAGCTTTACATCTCATGCTACCTATGTTATCATGTGCTTCATAATATTAACATTAACTATGCTTGCAGAAATTAATAACATTGTCCAAGCAGCTGATGCAATCAGTGATTTGAGCGGGATAATTACAGAATGAGAAATACGAGGTTTCAGTTTGGAGAATTTGGGATTTGCTGTTTCTCTTTTACTGAAAGAAGCATTTGGAATATATAGATGAATAAGACATACTTTATTAATCCCCAAGGGGAAATTTATTTTTCTCACTCTGTTATTGAACATGCTACACAGACATACAGTATGCACAAACAGGATCCTGTGGAGATGCACTAATGGAGAGATGTCAGAATGAGAGCCTCACAGGAAGGAGCGCCTGAGCAGTTTCGGGATTCAGTGGCTCAAGATGCAATGCTCACAGGAAGTGAATAGGCCCCTCTCCAGAAACTAGTCCCACATTCAACACTTTGGACGGAAACAGGATTCGAACCGGCAGCCCTCCTTCAACCCGAGTCCCTATGGACTAAGCTGCTGCCACAATAAACATGAAAAAAAAAAAAGAATTATAAGTCACAAATACAAAAAAACTTAGTCTATTTTAAATTTAGATTATTTGCATAAACTATTGCCAAGCTTTGATTTGGTACTGCACAGTTGAAATACAAATGATAAATATTTTGTGCCTCAGTATCTCTGAAAGCTGAAAAGAGAAGAATATATAATTAATTCACATTTATCTGTCTACTAAGTATCTTGTCCATCTACCTGTGTGTCTTCCAGGAGGCTGTGGGGGAGAACACGGGAGTTCACGGTCCAGCAGAGGACAGGAAGGAGAAGGTGCCCAGCCCCCATCTCAGCCAACTGGTGGTCCTCACTAACAGCGGGACTCTTTACGGACTCGCCCAGCGGGTGGTGGCCACTGAATCTCTGTAAGTACTCTCTGCACCGCACTCCAGATGAAGACTTAACACATTGCATAACAAAGTAATTTTAAAGTAATCAGTGTAATTGCACCCTAGAAAATGATGCAATTACCAGTATAGGTTTTTATTTGTGGGTGGAAAGATTATGATAACATGGCTTTCATTTCGTCACTATTGTTTCCTGGCTGTTACGTTCATCAAAGCGTTTTCTATTATCAAGGTTAAGAGGCCACTTCTCTCTCACTTCTGTGCCTCAAGGAGCTCATTTCATGAAGCAGCTTTACAGAACCTGGCCATCAAACATTATTATTTCAATATTCACATTAGGGGTGCAAACGAGTACTCGGGTACCCGAGTCGGTTACAAAAAAAATGTAATTGATAATCGTTTTTGTAATCCACATTTTTGTAAATGTTTCTTGTTGCGTTGTGGGTTCTAGGATAGGCCTAATTTAAAACAGAATAAAAGAAGCACGAGCGCAAAAAGAAAATAGATGACAAACAAAGCGCTGATAAAGGCTCTGTGTTGTTGAGCCATACGCTGCTACCCTAACAAAAATATCCCTTTAATTAACCCCCCTATGAATTCACAATTAACAAAAAGTCTCAAACAAACGAAATATGCAATATGATCTACGAAAGTTCAATTCAAATTGTCTTTTTAGTCCACAGAAAAAGAAGGACTTTCACTTTGCGATTACCGCTTTACTCCGCTAAACCAATGACGTTTGATCATCTAGGACAGAGCAGCATAACTAGATGTTTTCCTATATTTTGGAATTTTAGATGATTATTCTTTTAATAACTACAAAATGGAACAACCATATAGGGAGAAATAGCTCATAGCGGATGGACGAGCGAGATTGAGCGAGTGTGTCATTACGCACAGAGGAGAAAGCTGAAACAGACAGACACTTAAATTGTTCACCTGTTCTATTGTAACTTAATTTACCAGAGTAAAGTGTGCTCTACACTGCAGACTGTAGTCTTTGTTAACAGAATGTTGCTGTCAAAACAGCTTCAACGTGCGATGAGTGCGCATTGAGGTCTGCACGTCCGCTCGCCACACTGCTCCAATTATAATAAAGTGTTAAAACGGTCATAACATGTCTGTGTGAATTTTTATTTGAGGTTTGCTGTTATTAAAATCCTTAAGATTCAAATGAATCAATAGATAGAGTCGGCATCGCGTCATAGTTGGGGGCGGTGCCTCCCGTGGGGGAAAAGAATCACAGAAAAAAAACAACTACAAAACGATTACTCGAGTACTCGCTTTAACAATGAGAAGAGTAATCGATTAGAGAAAAAATTGCATTTCTGCACCCCTAATTCACATAGATAAAGCAGGATAAAATCATACAAAAAACTAAAACAGAAAGAAAAAACTCTTCCCTGAAATTGACTATTTGTACTTTTGCAATGAGTCACAACTTACTCATTCATTTTCTCCCTCTTGGACTCCTGTGTAGTTGTTCTCCCTCTCTATTTTCCCTGTTACATCACACTCACAAAGGCACCCTCATATATAATAAGGTCAAACTATTCATTTTTGGACAACTCTTGGACATGAAAACTCTGCAGTGTACATTCACTTTATAATGAAAGTCTGTAAACCGAGAGCCCAGATCGACAAAGCTGCAGAATTGGCTAACACATTCTCTGACAAATGTTTTCATGTATAGGAGGTAGACAGCTAGGTCAGATGAATGATAGAAGCAAAAGAGCTTAAGTGCAGAGGTGAAGATATTTTGTGGATGAAGTATGAAAGAAAAATCTGCTGATATCCATGAAGAAACAGAAACCGGTTAAGAGACCTTCTGGCATGTCAAAAGCCTTCTGATTCAATGATGAAGAAAGAGAACCAAACATGAACTCAACAACATACTCAACAAATACAAAACAAATATTCAGAAAACCTAAAGGCACCTCTCTCTCATAAAGAACTGACTAGAGCGCTCCTTTTCATGCCGAAACAATGAATCACCTGGGCCAGATGTCTACCCAGCAGAATTGTATTAACAGTTTCAGTGCCTTCTTTCACCTCTTATTTTCAAAGTAATATCTGAATTTCACCAAAACACCACCGTGTCCCGTCATATGAACACTGCGAACATTACGATGTTCCCAAACCAAATAAGGACCCCACTTAATTGTCCAACTATCGGCCAAAATCATTACTTAATACCGACACAAAAGTCATAAGCAAGGCGTCATCAGTTAGACTCCAATCAGCAATCTCATCAATAATACCAATAAGACCACTTCAATTACAAAGATGTTCTCAACAAGGATGCCCACAATTGTTTGCTCTTTTCATTTAACCCCTGACTGCAAATAGTAGACAATGTTACCACCACCATAAAATTATTCTTCATGCAGATGACATCCTGCTATACATTACAACTCCAACACCCTCACTTCCATGAGCCCATAATCTGATCATTAACTTTAGTAAGGTGTCTGGACAGTCTATCAACGGGACCAAATCTGAGATGCTGCCCACAACAAAACCCAACTGGGAGCCTGTGGCTTGGGAACCAAACACCCAAATATATTACATAACACCCAGAATCTGTATTTCTCTAAATTCAAACAAATTAGTCAAGCTCAACAAAAATAAATTAACTGCATTACCTTTTTGCCATCACCTCTATCACCCTACCCCCATGATGGTTCTCCTCTTTTCATAGCATAGGAAAAAAAACACAAATCCAAACTATCCATCATCCAACAACCTAAACAATATAGCGGACAAGGGGCCTTAAACTTCAACTACCCTAAAATCTGGTGTATAAGACGCGCTTTTAATACCTATTTTTTTGTCTTAAAAGTTGGCTGCGTCTTATACACCGGTGCTACCAATATACCAGTATAAAATACTGGTATATTGGTACTGGTATATTAAAATACTGAAACACGCGCTGTCACTACAGCGGGGCAGCAGCCACTATCACTGCGACCTGATGGGATTTAAAACCCATCACCATTCATTGTGTATTGAAACTGTGCTGGAAAAGACAGCGACACAGACCAGTCTGGCTGCGCGACTTTTTCCACATCTTTTCACCCTCACAAGGTCATGATCATGCATTTACAGAAACAGTGGTAAATTGTTCCGTAAATACACCTTGTGGAGTGCTCTTTTGATTGAAAGAGTCCTATATTAAAGTTAAAGCGTGACCAGTGGAGTCGGGCAGCGCGACTCGCAAGCTATGAGTCTGTGCCTCTGATTCACAACTTTCCCTGCAGGCTGAGAGCTCAACTACCGTACTGTAGCTAGTAGAAGTGCAAACTCCTGAAAGAGAAAACAGACGGAACTAAAAGAGCGACACAGCTGCACAGAAACTGCACGTTGTAGACATCACTGAACACAATATAAATCGGCACGCAGGAAGAGAGTTTACATTTTTTCTCTCTAATAGACGTCCTAATAGGGTGCGTCTTTTATACCGGTGGGACTTATATTCCGGATTTTACGGTACTACATTATCTCACACCAATTACTGTACATTAATACTGGACAAATGAAATCAGCCTAACCCTGGCTAGATATAGATACATCCATTAAAACTCATAGCCACTACAAAAACAACAATAGAGTCAACACCACTCTTTGTGCATGGTGGAAGTCAAATGACATTCTCAACATAGCTTATCACCATCTCTCCACACCCCACAAATGCAAAATCCCACGTTTTTAATCAACAACAAACCCTTTATCTACCTAACCTGGAATATGAGAGGAGTAGCTAACCTCAGGCAGCTACTCAGCGATGGCTTACACATGACCTTTGACTGAATTAAAAAAATATATACCAGACCACTGCTACTTCCAGTGGGTCCAGTTAAAAGTGGTCAATAGGAAAAACATCAACACCACAACCTTTAGTAACCTTTAATGTCTTGTCCATCTGGTCCTGTCTTGGCTTTTTTGCCTTTTCTGTCTTTTCTGTCTGATGTCTTCATTTTTCACATGTCAATAGGCACATATAGATAATTATGTATTAGCACTCTGTAAATCTGTCAACACAAAATAAAATTCAAAAAATCTAATCTGTTCATTCCAGAAGAAGCACTGACTTAATCTGGGCAAAACTGACTGAAGGTTTTTTCTGTCTGAAAATGTTTTATTAGAAGGGACAATCTCAGCCTGAACACCTCTGACATCCTCAGCATACGGCGTTCTAAACATCATCTTAGAAAAAAGAAAGGGCAACATAAAGTTCACAATCCAAGTGGTCGGGAAAAAAAGAGGTGTGAGAGACATCTGAAATCCTTTAGGTGCCCCTCTTGCTGTTGCTACATGTTGCTTTTAATAAGTGTGATCAGATTAACTGAAAGGTGGGCTCAGTTTTGCCCACGCTGCACCATATTGTGAAGGTAAACACAAGCTGTTGCAGCGATCCTCTGCTGCATGAAAACAAACAAATGCCCACTGAGCTCATTTATGGTGCTCTGGCTGTGTTTAATGTAGTGCTTCCAGATGTGGTGTTAAGCAGACGGTACTTATTAATATAAATGAATGCTTTTAATATAAAGGTTCCTGATGGGGTTACATTTATTTCCTACAGATGGTCTCTTTGGAGCTTCAGTAACAGCCTTATTAGTGGATAAATCAGCCATGCAGAGATTTGAAATAACATAGACCTTACCCTAAGCATATTATTTTCTGTTTTTGGTTATCTTCCCTCAAAAATAATATAAACAAAGAAGTATATTTTGAATTTTAAGCATACAATTTGTTGTTTACCGTCACGAGAAGACACTGAGGAGAATCATTCAGGATTTTGTTTTGATAAACAAAAGGCAAAAATGTCTTTAAAAGTGTTCTTAACATTAAAATATCAGAGCTTCTATAAGAAGTGCGTGCTGATGAGCTGGGAAAAGCAGCACTAGAGTTTTTCGGCAGAGAGTACTTGATTTATTTTTAGTGCTTAGAGAGAAATTAATTAGGGATCTTTATCAAAAATGTATGTTAAGGTTTTTTAGAAAAACTTTCAACCAAGGAATCAATAAACCTTTGACATTGGTATCAGCCTCAAACACCCCTTATTGTCCAGTTTGTATAAAAATAAAAACGAACATTACAAAGCTCATACACCACATATTTAATTATCCTGCCTTATTTCAAATTCTGAATGAGTATTTTTTACCTTTTTGTAAATAAACATACTAGATTCTGTAGCCTGATAGTCTTGTTGTCCATTCATTTTCTCGTCTTTATGCAAAAGTTTCTCCCTCTCATATGGTGAATCAGCTGACTAAGGAACAGGGAGTTGTTCAAAGTGACAGGGTATTCTGTGTGACGCAGGCGGGACTGTTTGACGCTGAGGATGAAATTGCTCACTTGGTTTCTGAGAGAGTTCAAACTAAAATTGGTTTAAGTGGAAGCACATCATGTGTAGGCCAGCCATTGGGCCATACAGTTTTTTGTCTGGTTGAGTTGTTTTTCTTCTTGTAGAGGCACTGTCCAATCCGTTGCGTTGTTGTTCTTGACTTGGAACTATAAAGAAATCACACCTTAAGAGGCGCTGCACCTCAGCAGACATGTTTGTTAAACCTCAGAAGTCAACTCTGAATTTCACTCCAACCTCAGGTTTTGTTTAGCGCACAGTTAAACACTCAAGATTCATCGATCGGCCTGAGTCAACAGGACTTTATTTTGTCAGGGCTGAACTCACAGAAGAATGGGGGTGTTAGTTCTGTCCGTATTGATTTTCTTGTGTCCTGTCTTTCTTTTTCCTTTTACTTTGCTTGTCCTCACTATATTAAGGCTAACTGAAAGCCATTCATTGTTAAAATAAAAAAAGAAGGACAGGCTGATTTGTTGGGTTTGAAGTAGAGGTAATTTCAAAAAGTGGTCTTGAGCTGTCTTGAAACAAAGACTGATCTTAAGTACTACGACACAATCCCTTTTTTTCTTCTGTTGTTTAAATGCTGTTGTGTCAGAAAAGGAAGGCTGAGCTTTGACATTAGTACTAGTATTGGTCAGTTGTTCTGTATTCTTGTGATGTTCTGAAATAAAAAGAGACCAATGAACTTTTTTGTTAGTTTCTAAAACTTTGGTCTTCCAAACAAACTGAATTCAATCAAAACTAATATCAGCTTTAGTCAACACATCTGTCACTTGTTAATAACACAGGGAACAGACATAGTAATTTCTGTCATTGATGTCTGCTCTGCTGAGCTGAATTTATTCTTCTGTTTGTTATGTGTGTTTTTTTTCCAGTGTGTTTTTGGCAGAACAATTTGAATCCCTACAGTCTCACCTGGACACAATGATGCCTTTAGCCAAGAAACCCTTCCTGCAACAGTTTTATTCTCAGGTATGCTTTCAGCTTCTCCCTCAACTGTGTGTACTTCCAATGATCTTTATGATGCAGTTAATGCAAGGCCTTTTCATTTTCATCATTGAATCTGTAACAGAACAAACATTATCAAAAGAATCATTCTTAATTATAAACTTGTATACTGTATCTAATCCATCTAATCATTTTTCATTAAATGTGTATCCCTGGGGACAAATGATGATGTATCTGTCACTAAATATTATACTCGTCCTTGATCATCAAAGAAAAAAAGTCATTTATACCCCTCAGGCTCTTCCCCATCTTTTCTGTTCTTGTTGTGGTTCCCTTGACATTTCAAACCGTCAGCTGCTCTGGCAGGTCTGTTTACCCATCAACATAAAATGAATGTCATGTCCTAAATTTATACCCTGGAAGATATTGTGCAGTCCATGACGTTAGCTTACCTGCAAAACACGAGGAGACCTTGACTTTTTTGTCTCTGACATCGCTCTTCGCTGCTCAGATAATGTTGAAAAAACACGTCGCATAAAACACACGTACATGTCTTCTCCTTTTCCTCCTCTCAGACGGTGTCGACAGCCAGTGAACTCCGCAAACCAATCTACTGGATTGTTGCAGCGAAGGCCATCGACTACGAACAAATGTTGCTCATGATGGCGGGGGTTAAATGGGACATCAGGGAGATAATGTCACAGCATAATGTGTATGTGGACGCCCTTTTAAAGGTAATTTTGCATAAGAGATGTGTAGGTGACTGTTATAACATAACATGAGATTTCCCATACTGTTAACACTTTCTGATTAGAGTCACACATTCATTCATTCTTATGCATCCTTATGGCTGTTGCGTTGAAGAGAATTTGATAATGAAATGCTAATGGAAAACGTGGATTTTTTACACAACTAGCAGACACAAATCAACATTTTCATTAGCTTGAAGTTTTACATCGGTCCAGCAAACCCAAATTATTCATATACAAGTTCTTGTTTTAGATCTATTTTTGGGTGTCCTGAACTCCTGAAGGAAATATCTTCATCTTCTTCAGCAGCTTGATGCTCATATTTATTACAGACTCGTACTTTCTCTTCCTAGGGTTGTGCATAGTCGGTTTATCAGAGCTATTTCACCAAAGCAGAGGTCTGGTGCTGGAAACATGGTGTTTAAGGGTAATGAAAGAATGAAAAAAGTTGAGCCTCCTGCCTTGAAAACCAAAACAATGTGCCACAAAAAGCTAAGGGGAAATGATTTCAAATGTGGATTTTAGAACAAGCAACCCATTTAACATGCGTCATTTACAATCTTAATTGTTGATGTTTTGCTCATGTTCAGAGACTTCATGGACACTTTCCCTCATAATCCGTAAAAACATTTCTGCATTAAGATTGTTGCATAAATAATGCTGAGTAGGCTCTAAGTCAGTTGAATACTAACACTGATAATAAATAATAATACATACAAATAAAAGTCAATTTACTGTATATTAAAATATATTATTTCTAGGGCTGCAGATTTGGTTATGTCACTTGCGCCATGTACAGAGGCTACCGTTGTCAAAGCAGCGCCTGTGGGTTTGAATCCGATCTCAGCCCTCTGCTGCATGTCATCCCCCGCTCTTTACTCCCAACATTTCCTGTCTCTCTTCAGCTGTCCTTTCCGAAAGCAAAAAAAAAGGCCCAAAAATATAACTTAAAAAAAAAAATATATATATATATATATATATATATATATATATATTTTAATATCTAGTAATATCTAGTTTAGTTTACATTTAGGAAAAGTTAGAACTTGTCCAAATGTTAATTATTTTTCCCCAAACAAATACTAATGGTGCTCTGTAGCCCCCTCTGTGTCATGTGATATCCATGTTCCAAAATGAAGAAGACTCAAAAGCAGCAGTAGATTTTTAGTCTTTGTACCGGTTGTGACGAGCTAGCACTGGCTACACATATAAATACAACAAAAAGCCCAGAATAAACACAGATTAAAACCATGAAATCCAGTCCAAAGTAATTAAAAAACAGAAAGATAAAGACGAAGAAGAACCTTACTCTTCCCTAACACTGTGAAATTCAGTCTAGGTAATCCTTGGAATATCTTTGTGGTTTACATAACACTTACCTCTTATTCCATGTAAAGTCAAGAAGTCTTAAGCTTCTTGTCTTTCTGCTTGAGTTCCAATTAATTCAGGAACTTTTACAATCAATTATTTGGGGTGGTCTGAATAATTTAGCTCATGGGTGAGCTGATGAGAGCCTTATTCAGACCCGTCCTCAAGTTTTCAGCTTTGTTTAAGACTTTCAAGCTCAGCGCTAGCAGATACATTTTTTGGGGAATTGAAAGTTTTAGTCTTTATGCATGCTGCTCACTTATCCCATCATGCATTTTTCATTGGGTTGGAAGGACATGCGGCACTCGTTTTCTCACCTCAGAGAAAGGTCTGAAGGGCCCGCTGTGGTGTGAAAATCCTGAACAGACCATCACCAAAGCAAGACAAATCCCCACGTGTGCATCCGAGTTACTCAAAGTCATGTTGAAGAAATCTCTTAAGAAGGCACATATTGGTGAAATAGATAAATATGTTCCGATAGAATCAGAGTAAACGGTTATGTGCTTGTATAAATTCAAACTCACATTTTGAGTGCCTGAATGGCTCATACATGATTTTCTGGATCCAGAGACTCCGCCGTTAAGTCCATTAATTTAGCTCATGAGCTAGTTTTCCCTAATGGGAGAAATCCTCAGTCTCCCTGGCCTGGTTTGAATGCTGAACCATGTCAAAACGTCTGACATGATGCATATTACAACTAGCATGTACTTTTCCCCCCATCAGGCCCTAATAGCCTCTGCCAACTTGTCAGACATGCATATGGATTGTGTTATGTGTGCTGATTGAACAGAATGTGCTACATTTTGTCAAACTGCACACAGGAGGATATTTTATTCATGAATTCAGGTTGATCAGTGGCATTCAACAATGGCATTGATTTGCATATAAAGTGGCGAGGAAATACAGCAGCCTCGGAATGACTTCATTGAAAGTGCTTAAGTCAGACAGTATTGTGCCACTGTTTGTGAATGAATAACATTTTATTCTTGGGAGGAAAAAAAAATAATGGAAGTGTGCCTTAAACTCAGGTCTATTCTTTTTAACATGACACTCTGAAAAACAACGTAGACATTTCCTACATCCATCACAGGCACATTAAATCTGTGTGGACTTAAATGTGTTCCCTAACAGCATCATTTCATCATCGTTGTATAATTGAATGCATAATAAAAGTTTCCAGAGTGCAGCGAGTACACAGCAAGTCTCTGGCACACCTGAAACCTGTCTTTCATTTCAGTACATTCTGTTTGTTCATCTTTCTCAGCAGAAATGTACCATAATCCTTTGTGTTCAAACTTTAAAGAGGGAACATTTGATGGCTGATTAGGTAGAAGTAACCTCCTGTCTGGTTGGAGGGTATGAGGACCACATTTTGTATCAAGAGATAGGGTAGGGCTGCAGCTAAGCTTGAACAATGTGTACCAATGAGGCTTATGACCGATTCCCGAGTGAAACTATGTGGTGGATGATGTTGTTATTTGGGCTGGGGGCACATGTTTGTGTCTTCAAGCAGATGCAGAAAAACAACATAACCGGCTAAAAACGTTGTAAACAAAAAGTGACAACAAACTAAGTATTGGAACCAGAAATGAAGGAATCAGAGGGCGGTGTCAGGGAGGGCATTAGCAGTCTATCTATTACTTATATTCTCTCTGCTTTGCTGATGACTTGTTAAGTTCTGTAAATCATATTAAACAATTGGACAGATCAGGTGTATGTGGATTTTATACATGAATATGAGCAGGACACATTTTAAGGAAAAAAAAAAATATATACAGTATATGTATATATATCAGTCAGTGTTTCCTAAAGCTCAAGATAACATCCACAAATGACCATAAAGAAACCAGAAAATGTTCATATATATATAAAGCTGTAATAAGAAAACAGAATGTTGTTTAAAAAATACAAAAAAAAACAGAACAACCAATCATTTAACTGTATAGTAGGAAAATTATGTAATTAAATAATTGACAACTAATCAATGAAAGACTAAATTCTTGCTGCAGCTTTGGATGATGAGTGTCATAACCCGGTTGTGACAAAAACTGAAGCAGTCGGATTTTAAATTCACCCATAACAAGACAGATGAGGTGTGTTAAATCAGTATAATCAGTGGTGAACGTGTGGATGTGTGTAAAAGCATCATGGTGTATGTGGTGTTGAAGAGTGCACTAACATAATAGCTAAATGAATAATGGTGTCAGCTCAAGCTCAAGCTTAGGCAGAATAGAGAGAGACCGAGAGGAACAGGATGCTGGTCCTTATATCCTGGGTGGAGCAATGGGCCCATCATCAGCACCTCAAAGACAATACAAGCATATGAGTACACAACCAAACACACACTCTAAGCAGGGGTCGTCACAGTGAGGTACCTGCCGACGAGACGTTTTCACAATAGTGAAAGGTCAGATATATTATACGACATGAATCAAGACGAGCCCAAAGGCAGTTGAACAGTTTTCAGCCTGGATGGTCCAGTACCCGACTACAGTCTTCAACAGCACATAAATGATTTCTTTTAGCAGATATTTTGCAGGCTTGGTGGATTCTTTCTCCTGAAGCCGTCTGTTCTGCACATCATGATGTTGTGTTCGTCAGTTCAGACTGTAAAGCCATTAAAAGCATTAAGTTAGAGTGGAGGTATGATAATAACCAAGACAAACTGCAGGCTCTTTACTCCATGGAAGAAATGATTTGGTCTTGATTGATTGATAGATTTGATTTATTCATGTCACCATTAAAGTGGGTTTAGTATGAGCCAAAGCATTTCTGAAAATAATTACACACCTGATTGATTATTCTCTGGTGAAAGAAAGATGTTTCCGTTTTGAACGTTTTTGTTATTGTAATTGAGAAAAACCCGGAGTGGAATTTAAAGTCTGACTTCATTCACCCGTCTTGAGTGATGGATTATGGGTATTTGACTTCTTGATTATTGAGTATATTTTGAGTGGGTTATATGTGGGTTTCTTGAGTTTCCTGTAAATAAAATTAGTTTTGCTTTGAGTAGTTTTTGTGCGTCTCTCGTTCAATGTAAGGCTTTGCTTTTTCATGTGTACAATCCTTGTGTGATGTTTAGATATTTTTTTTTAAACTAACAAACCAAACTTAAAAATTGTAACAACAAAAACCATAGACTTATCTTAAATGCCAGGAGAGAGACCTAAGTGTTAAAATAAGAAGATAAAAAAACGCATGTCAAAGTCAAGCTGTCACCGTACAGTATGTTGTTGGTGTGGACTTTTGTTTTCTAAAGGTTTTCTAGTTGGGAAAACAAAAATTGTGTTGGTGCTGTGATGTCTTGTTTGTAGCTACAGCTCTTTTTGATATACTATGCACAAGCTACTAACATGTTATTACTTTTAACTATTGTGAAAATGAAACTTCACACTACTCTAAACTCTCTAAACTCTTGAACGATGTCCACCCTGTGTTTCTCGTCCTCTCAGGAGTTTGAACAGTTCAACAAGCGTCTGGGAGATGTTTCCAGACATGTACGCATCCCGCTGCCTGTGTCCAATGTTCTGTGGGAGCACTGCATCCGCCTGGCCAACAGGACTCTAGTAGAAGGGTAAGACAGAATTAAAACATCCATAAACTGAGGGGGATGCTTCATTATTGTCAAGTGGCTGACAAAACGAAATATATGTTTAAAAAAACACTCACATTATTATGCATAATATTTCCCTATAAGTAAATTAAAAGCGCCTTATTTATAGAAATGAGTCTTAAAACCTTTAGTAAGATCTAGAAGCATACCTGTGTTTAAGACAGAACTTCACCTGACCATGACAAACCTCTGCACACGCTTAGGATTCCTTTTTATTCCAGTACAAGTCATGACCGCAGTTAATGTTCGGTTGATTTTCCCACAGAGGTAACATCCATCTATTAATACTTCTACAAAACACACGTATCAAAATGTGTATTCTTGTCGTCTTAGGAGTGGCTTTTTTCTGTTTTAATGCTCTCAGGTTCCAGCGTCTCTCAGGTTACGCTCTCTTTTTGTCTTGTGTCCTGTACACATAACAGCATTAATGAGTGATTGTATAATGGTGATTCAAGGCTTCCACTCTCATCCACCGTCCATGGCATTTTTACAGACAGAGAAGATTAATTTTTCTCCCCTTTCGTTTTATTTTTCTCTCATTACTTTTAACATCTGCACGGCATAAACAAGAAGGGGGGAAAATAAAATAAAAAGTACTTTCCAGAGCATGTTGTCAAGCTTCATGAAGAACAGGGGAAATTACCTGCAGTACATAAGAAACCTGGAGACCCTGCTGCCAAGTTCCTTTGGAGTAATCCCCCGAAGAAAACCACTCTTGAGCGGCTGCCATCTTTTTCTCTCCGTACTCTGGCAAACCTCTGGTTCACATCGCTCCAGCTTCACCAGAAGCCCATCAGGGGGATTGTATGACACAGACCACTCTCACAGAACGTTAAAACGCTCTCGACACATCCCTTGTAATGCATTTCACTACTTTCTCCTTTGTGAGATATGAGCTGTAATAGGTGACAGAACAGCAGTGGGGGTTCCCCCCCCCCCCCTCGGCACTTGTTACCCCTGCTGTCTTTTTACTTAGCGCCCATGTGTAGAGTAAAAAAAGGCTTTTAGATTGAAGGTGTGATCTGACCTGAAAGAGTGGATGCACAGAAACATTGTCTCAGACCCTCTTAATGGATGGTGACGAGGCAACACGCTAACAGCTGACCATTTTTGACAAGATTACACACATTTTATAGGGCTACACAAGTCGCTGAGATGTGCTAATCTTTGGAAGATACAGTGAAGTTCTCGCTCGGGTTGCAATGACAGGTGCAGAAAATAGTTTTAAGTGGTTTCGGGTTTGCCAGGTGCGTCAAGAAGGAAAGAGAACATTGAGCATTAAGGATCGGAGGAAGGCTCAGCCTCACCCACTGAGAAGTAAGGAACATGTTTACCTCCTTTTCTTCCCATTTTGTAAGAGAACATTTGAACCCTCTCCAATGTACAAATGGCCCATTACGACTGCAATGTTCTGCAAATATAAGCTGCTGTTCTGCTGCTGTAGATCAACCTCCAGACACACACACACACACACAAGAAGACGGAGGGATCATATTTGTTTGTTTGTACTTTGACTCACACAGCCTGTTATTTAATTTCTTCATCCAACGCTCGTCTCTCCTTTGTGGCCCGCAGAAAAGCGGCTCCCTTAGCAGTCTGAGCCTGAGCTCAAACACTCAGCACCGGACTCTGGCAGGCTTGACAAACTGAGAGGGAGAGAGGGAGAGAGGGAGAGAGAGGGGATGAGGCATAAAATGGAAACAGGAGAGGGAAAAGCTGTGAGACAGAGAGCAGAGCAGAGTGTGTGTGTGTGTGTGGGGTGTGTTAATGTACCGTAGATGTCACACATGCTGACCTGCCAGTGGACAGCACAGTACCTGCTGCCAAACACAAACAGCATACTCACACACATTGGAAAAAAACATGTTACACACGTTTACTGAGACAGTACAGACATCTGTGGGGACCAACCTGACTGAATATTTAAGTTAGAACACATGCAGATACATAAGATGATTGCCTGAATATTCACTAAACAGTAAAAAAATAAAGACAATGACAAAACAAAGAGGTCAAACTCTAATTCAAACCAGTAAACAGGAATTTGAATAAACTGAAAATTCACAAACAAGCTATTATGGATGCTATTCACATCTCCATTCAGTTTTCATACTTGTTTTTAAAAACTCAAATGGGTTCTGAGTGTTACCCAACGGTTGCTAATCTAATTTACCACACTTTTTTGGCTTCAGGAGATTTGAAATTATTTCCATTTTGACTCTGATTTTGAAAAAAAAAAATAATGACAAGCTGAGACCCATCTTCCAGGCATCTCCTGCATAACAAATTCACATTTGGGAGTATGTAGTATTTGTAACTATTGCAATGCAAGTTTCTTAATATGCAGAGACAAGTTTGTCTGCAATTTTAGGCCTGGCTACATAGCTGAATTACTCTACCGACATCCTGCACACTCATCAGAATCAGAAATACTAAAATGGAAAATAGAAATCAGTGTTTCCCCTACCATTATATTGGAGGGGCGGCCCGCCTCCCCAATGCCCCCCCCCCGAAGGTCAAGTTAAAAAATATATATTTTTTAAAATTATTTTTGGGCTTTTTGTGCCTTTATTGTAGAGATGGGATAGTGGATAGAGATGGAAATCAGGGAAAGAAGTAATTTGAACACCAAGATTCCTGTGTTTGTGTCGTCGTGTCGACGTGTCGGCATGTTGGCTTGTCCCCACCCCGCCCCCCAACGCTGTAAACCTAGGGGAAACACTGGAAATAATAAAATATGCAACAAGTACCAAGTGAGAGTAAGAATAATAAGCTATGTACGCTGGGAATTGAAAAATATAAGCAATGTTTACAAATATACATCAACACATTGTGCTGTGTTAAACAGTGTAGATATTGTATCACATTTCAATATGATTCTTGAAAAAGGCCTCCGTGTTCTTAGACCATATTGCACTGCATGGATTGAAATATAGTTATGTTATCTTCAAAGGAACATCTACAAGTGACAGCTATATTTACCTAAAATACAGTTTACAGAGAATCAACCTGCCCTCCAACAATAAGGTGTCTGAACCTGAATATTTGGGTTGATGCTAATAATGGTAATTTCTCTCTGCTGCTTTGTCCCCTACTGTAGCTATGCTAATGTGAAGAAATGCAGCAACGAGGGCCGGGCCCTGATGCAGCTGGACTTCCAACAGTTCCTCATGAAGCTTGAGAAACTGACCGACTTGCGACCCATCCCTGATAAAGAGTTCGTGGAGACTTACATCAAGGCCTACTACTTGACTGAGAACGATATGGAGCAGTTTATCAAGAATCACAGGGTGAGACGGTGAAGCAATGTCAACATCTGCATAATGCTGAATGCCTTATGTTGAGAGACGGTGTGTTTGCATGTCTGTCTTTTTTTTCTCACATATTCTGTGTGTATCTGTGCAGGAGTACTCCATGAAGCAGCTTGCCAACCTGGTGAACGTTTGCCTGGGCTCGCACATAAATAAGAAGGCTCGTCAGAAACTTCTGGCGGCCATCGATGACATTGACAGACCCAAGAGATAGACTGATGACAGGAGCAGACCCTAAACATATCATCCAGCCACAGAGACTGACACTCAAGCAGAACCCCATCCCGTCCTGCAGAAGAGCTCATCACAGAATGTCTTCATATTCCATTTCATGTTTGGGTATTTTTAACAAGTAAAGCTGCTATTCACATTAACGTAAAGCTAAAATAATAGCCTATTGTTAATTGGTTGTTAACCTACAGTCATTGTTTGGTCAAAAACAAACTCAGTTTTTTTGAAAGCACCTCATGACATACTGTTGGACATAAATACTAAAACCATCACCATCGAGCATGCTAAAGTTACCCTACAAACACTGAACATGGATCACAATGCACGCCCTCATCTTTTCATTTTAGAAACTTGCTGCTTATGACATTTGTCTGAAAATTGTCTACATTCAAAACAGTTTTAATGTCTTCAATGGCCAGATGGAACTGACTTTTTCACACATCAATTAACAGATATAACCTTGTGATATAAGTGTGTTAACGTTGCTCTTCATGGTGTTACATCAACTCCATCCTTTCAATTAAGAAAAAAAAAAGCATTTACCAGAAGTCCAGTAACATACGTTTTCTGTACTAAATATGTCCCAATATTGGATCCAAGAAGACTCTGAAGCAGTTATTATTAACCTCTACTTTCTGATCTCAAGCTTTGTCTCATGGTTGAATGTCCCTTCCAGATGCAGATGCAGTAGATCTCATTTATCGTTCATTTGATCACTCTTTATAAGTTATTCTTATTTTCTTTGTGTATCGTTTTACTTCAGGGTATTTTTGTGCCTGACTGGATGTTTCTTTGTTTCTTTGTTCTGTCTGTCTATGATATAAATCTAATATAATAATGATCCTGAAAATAATATAAATTGCTGTAGTTAGCGTTCAAATATTGTATATGAGCACCAGCTGCATTTGATTGTTTGCCATTTGTTAATTATTTGAATGTCCTCTAGTATCTGATCTCCATGCTGAGCATTCAAATGTGGTTTTTATTTTTTTTCTATCAGTTTGTGCAGTCGGACATTGATGATGTGAATCCTCATGAGTTTGTAACTGAACTGCGTCAGCTACAAGAGCTTTCCTCTGCCGCTTTAAAGCTGCCCCCACCTGTCGCCTCCATTAGAGCAGACCTGCCGAGAGGGCAGATTGATTTTCTGCTAAAGAAAAAAAAAAAAAAGGACTGGAGTTAAGTTTTTGATATGGCTTCATATTTTCTGTGCACCTAGTCCATGAAGACTATTGTAAATGTGAATGTTTTGAACAATGTCTGTATTTATTTCTGGCTTCGTGTCTTGTTTAGCGTTTTTATATAATACTGGAAGTGTGCTGTCATTTATCACCTCTCAGTATCTTGTAACTTATCAGCTGAAGCTAAAAAAAAAAAAAAAAGAAGATATTTAAACTTTGTGAAATTATGTTAAGGGTCAAGTGCACTATTGTGAAACTAATCAGTAATCATTGTTTAACTGTAGGTTGAACCAAAAATGATTCTAACATAATAAACACACTAACAATGGACTCTTAGTGTCTCTTCTATTATAACTCATGATCCTCAAATATAGCTTTATCATATCCAACCTTTAAAATCTCTGGCCCAAGCATTTTTCATACAGACATTGTTCCCCTTCATGATAATATATGAGTGTTACCTTTCAGCAGCACCAGTGTCACCCTAATGATGTTGAACTCAGCCAGGAGCAGGACTGTTCCATTAATTAAAGTGGCTTCCTGTGTGGTTAAACCCTGCAGCCTTCCTCTTTAGGAAGGAGCCCACTAATCCTCCTAAAAGAGCTATGAATGACTCATTTCAACTTTGATGATTCACTGTTTTTTACTCTGCAAAAGTGTAACTGTTTTTCTTGTCATTAAGCACAAGTGGGACACCTCTGGAAGGGATTCAAGCTGTATGAAACATGGACATACAGCATAGTCTCAGTGATGCCATCCATTGCTTTCTGAAGCGGTGTTGTGAAGCCCAACGACAGCCGTTGCCATATTGTAAATGCTGACTCCGACTTGGCTAACCGAGAAGCAAGCAAAGAGGTGGAGTTGAGGTGTGCCGAATTCATATCTCAGTTGCTGAAACATGCCTGGAGCTTGTCATCCAGCTATAATATCCCAAACAATGAAACAACAAGGCAGGTTTTTCTTAAGTGAAGCCTAGTCTTTTGGCAAACAGCTACAACATGTCTGGCTGTCAGTCAAATCAAACACGCTCCTTTTTATGTCTATTTAAAAGAGCTGCATCTATTGTGAAAATCACGTGTATGCTGCTGACTTTCATGCAGTTTCACCACAAAAACAAATCAAGTTAAACAGGTGACTTCTGCACATTAAAAAGCCTCATCTCAATCAGCAGTGAAGTATACTGGCTTGTCAGCTTTGAATTGTTGCAACACAACAGATATACAGTACATGCCACATTATTTGCGGATGGGCAAATAACTGGTGCATGGATCCCTATTAATTAAGCATGACTCATAACCTTCATATAATCAGAACAGATTAGTTCTAATAGCAAAGGTTGCTGCTATTGCTGGATCTATTCTCATATTTCTCAGGAGAAAAGTACAAAAAAGTTTAATTTTTGGTTGATGTTTATGCTTCTAGCCTCTCTTATTAGAGAGACAGAACAGTGAATGGAGTCGGAAATCAGGAAGAGGGAGAGATTGGGGAATGACATGCAGCAAAGGAGCCACAGTTCAGAAACCCAGGCTACCCACTTTGAGGACTAAAGCCTCTGTACATGGGGGCCACCAGCGCCCCGTAAATGTAGGTTTGATGTTCATTGTTATGTGGTTCATAAGCTCAGAGCTAAAGTGAAGGACAGTGCACAGGGTAGCTGTAAAGATCAACTCTTGGTCCTATCCCCCCCTGATCTTGTCCCTATATGTGTGAGTAGGGTTTATTGGTAAAGAATTAAAAGTCAAACACTTCAGTCAGTATGAATCTTTTCAGCAAACAAAGACAAAAAAACAAGAAGACTATTTCAGCATAATGCTGTTAATCACTACGTCTGATCCAGTTGCAGTAGTAACAGGCATTCCATTTTTCTTTGCTCTCAAAGGTCAAATAGACGCATTAGTATAACTTCTTCATGTTTCATAACCGTCTACAAACTCTTTACAGGAGCTTTGAAAATAAAGAGTAACCTTAAGTCTTGTAACTTACAAAATTACTTTTATGTGATATTCAACTGTTTTAAACTTTATTTTTGTTTGGATTTAAATGCAGTTGCCCTAATTGATTTTTATATGTGGCAAATGTCCTTTAGGTTTACCAGCTGGCAGTGAACAGAATATATTTAGCTGCTTTAAATTGTGTCTCAAGGCAGTGACTCAAAACATGGACAAAAGATTTGATTATTTTCTTTAAGTGCATGTATCCCTGTAGATAGGGTAGCAGCTTCTGTGTTTTTGCACTTTGAAAGTATTTGACCATTCAACCCTTGTGTGCCTTTCGTACACTGCTTGTCTCACCCTCTCACCCTTAGACACTCTGATTCATGACCTACTCACACCACTGTTCCCCACGTCCTTGTGCAACAGATTCAGTTGCTCAGCTGGATGGTACCTCCTGTCAGGCTGTGGCCCAGATACCCTCTAAGATAAAAGAGCGGGCGCTCTTTGCTCTTATGTGTCTGCCAAATTTCATTTAGCTGAGCTCATAGTAATCACTATCACTGTTTCACATGGCCTTTATGCCCTCGTGTCTGCTGATAAGCACTGACATAGACTTTATTCATGTCTACTCAAACATGTGAAACAACTGCTGGCAGAGGCTGTTAGTAATTTTACTTTGCATGTTGATTTACAAGAGAAAGTTGAAACATTTGCGAGCTCTCCTCTTTAATGTACAGTGGTCATTATTTGGAAAGATCTTTTCTCAGACACAGGAATGTTTTGTTAATCATTTCTTTGAAATCTTTAGTTAGGAAATTCAGATTAACTTTTATGTGAACTCCCTTTTGTAAAAACGTATTTTGCCTCGCTGCTGCCCGACCCTCGCTCCCCTGCAGTGAAAAAATTAGTTTGGCCGGTTGCACCTTTTATTAAGTTGAAAATGGGGGTTACGCTTACAATTTGCTCGGTTCAAACTCAATTTATCCAAAAGGATTAAAGCTGTAGGAGACGTGCCCTGACATGTCAGCTGCAACAAAACTAACATGGGGGGCAAGCATGTTAATTATAGTCCTGGAAAGATACTGGATGGTTCACAATTCTCCACCATGGAGGTAAGAGACAAAACATCTTCATCAAGATGAAACGAGTATTGCTAACTAAACTAAATAACTGTTTCTTTGATTCCCCCGATGAAATAAAATGTATCTTGTTTTCTTGTATTATTTCCTTAGACTGTAGGTGAATACATGGACATATTAATTCAGTGATGCATCGGTTTCAAGAGTGGTCATGAAACCCAACAATGGCCATTGCCATAACCAACTCCATGCTAATAAAAATGTTTAAGGTCAGTAACAGCCACAACAAGCCCAGCTATCATTTTGATAAGTCACGCCCCTTATTACTGTATGCCAAATTATGCGTAACTCTAACGGGGATTCCCAAGATTTTGTAGCCAGCCTCATGTGGACACACAAGGAAGTGCAGTCAGTCTTTTACACTTGCTGTTTGGCCTCATTTTTTAACACATTTTTTAAAGTTGCCCTTTGATTGTTTGACTGATGTTTCTTGTAAATCTGCTCAAGTTTACACCAAACACATCAATGCTCACTAGCTAATGCTAGTTAAATGCTAGTGTAAAGTCTACATCAAATTTAGAAACTTTTGACAATTTGAAAAAGGTGGAACAAATACAGTGGGCAGCGAATCAATAGTTTAAGTTAAATGCAAATCAAAAATAGTTTGTAACCTCATTTCAAACTACGTAGCTGCTAACGCTACAGTATGCAGTTAAAAGCTAGCACCATCTTTGTAGGCTAACAGCAAAAGATTTAGCTACCTAAGCCCATTTACCTAAAAAACATAAAACATAATTATCCCAACCACATCAGTTAGCTATGTTAGATATGCAGCAACCTTCAACAGGCACATGTTTTAGTCTTTTAAAATGTAAGAAAGAGAGAAAACAAATAGCTGAAGATGCTGTGTAAGTTTAATTGCTAATTTTCTCCCAGATCTATCAGGTTAGCTAAATCTAACAGAAAAGCAAGGACAAGATGGAGAGTTCATCTCAGGGCATATGGGCAGAAAACACATTTTAGATGTTGGGAAAACTGGAACCTCAACCTACACACATGAAGACCTTCAATCTCAATGTCACACTCTGTGAGAGCAGAAAATCGAAAAAACTGTAAGCATTGAACTGTGCACGGTTTAGATAAACCCATGTGAGGATAATGACAGTCTAGTGTATTCACAGGGCCTTAAAACACTCGTATTGATTTAGCCCTATTACAAAATAAACCTGCAATGGATAGACTGCATCCATAAAGACAAGATGTGTCTATTAGGCTACTGTGGATAGGAAGAAGTTCAGACATTACACTGGGTTTATTGAAAATTATTGTTCTAGCATTAGGAAAAAGACTATTTCAAACAGATTGCATTAAAGAGATAATGTACCTTTCATTAAAAGTACATTCATACAAACCCTTCTGCAATTCAATAAAGGTTCAATAAACATCATTATTGTTCTTAATTTAATAGACCCAATGGCGGTACTTTCTCGTCTTATTGACTGGCATTAGAGATTGAAGCCGCTAATTGGATGTCAGACTCTGCTGCATAAACTTTCACGACGGCCCTCTGAGAATCTTGTTCCGCCAGTCGCTGCTAATTTGTTGCTTGAGTAACTTTACTTGGGTGGAAACAAATGTGTGTGGTCGAAAACACAAGCATGGAGAAAGAGAGCGTGTATAAACTCAAGTGCTTCTGCTGTTCCTCGGGGAAACCTCTCTTTCACATCAAAAAGATCATAAAAACATGAGAAACATTTGACATGATGCCAGACAGTTACTTCTCATGAAGAAAACATTAAAGAGACTAATTCAAATACTGCCCATGTGATGTATTATTTATTTTATTCCAATTCACGTCACGAAGTAATCTCAACAGCAGCACTTTGTGGAGCTCTTGGAAATACCCTTGCACAAAACACAAAGTCAATATTCCCGTCTCTCAGGCATGCATATGGATTGTGGACCTATACACACAGTTTAGAAGAGTGATGCTGTGTCTACATCTAAATTCACAGAGCTGGAGGAACAGCAAGAAAATATTTCTATGTATATCTTTGTTTCATAACCTGAGTCCTGAGGCAGTGGTCCATTATAAAATACAACAATACAACAAATACTTGCTGTAATGGCAAGTGGCCTATTCATTCAGAGGGCATTGAATAATATCATCTCTGAACATGTTTAGTCACTCAAAAAGACTGCTTCACCTTGCTGAGGTCTTGAAAATGAAATTTTCTTACATTACATTTGACTGCTTAATTCTTAATTGTCTCTATTGTCATGAACAGATATAATATATCGGCATGCAAGACCAAAA